AAATGAATGAAAATGAATGAAAATGAATGAAAATGAATGAAAATGAATGAAATCATTGGCTCTTCGGCTTTTGGCCTTGAATCTTCTGTTGCAATAAGGACTTGAAAGAGATCGCTTTCCAGTAATTTCGTAATTCCAGTAATTGGATGGAATTAAAGAAGAAATCGCTAAAATTTTCTCTATTAGGAGGCAAAAAGCCGTTCCAGTTACGCTGATAAATTCCTATTAGGCAGATATTACACGATCAGGTTATCGGAATTACCGATGAATTTTAGAGGGGAAAACCAAGATTGAGCCCCTTCTTCAAGCAGAACCATGCAATTTGCTCAGAAAACCACAGCGCTTCCAAAGATTGCCGACTTTTCCTCACCTGCTCCACTTCCTTGGGAAATAAAGAGAATGAATTAGCATTTTGCCATCGGCATTCAAGCTAGTCGCGTTGCCTGATATCATGGCAATCAGGGGTCGTAAATAAGCATGTCAACAGTAAAAGCTGAGTCATTGCTATGAATATGGGAAATTAATGCGTGTGACTCGAAAACATCTGCAGACGTGAACAATTCTATGGTACTGCAAAAAAATTTGATCAAGAATGGAACCAATAGAAAGAAAAATGGAAAATGAGAGGAAACAGAAAACCCTGTTAATTAGAAGTAATTGACACCTGGCAGACCGCAAGCCCAGTGAAATTCCACATATGAGAAACTTCATTGCATACAGGACGGACACAAAACGGAAAATTGGATCCCCAGAGCAGAAGGGTTGAACGGTGCAGCATTTCACGCCGAGAGAGAGGAAAACGTCAAACGAAACTAAGTTACAATAAGTGCCATGAGTGAGCCTTCGCCTGAGTCTTTTTATTTTTTTTTTAGATAACTGCAGAAATTTCACCCTTTCCAGTTAATATCATAATCACCATGAGGATTCAATTGTCACTGAGACTTGAAAAAAGAAACGCAAGTAGTTGTAAGCTATTGTAAGCTTTGTTGAACATAACTCCTAGTATGAAGGCATTAACATCTAAGGCATGAAGGCATAAGGGCACTTTATTCATGATTTTACAAGACGGAATCTCGATTTGTTCCATTACACGATTCTGTGCCTTTGCGAACCCGTCTCCCTGCAGACTCGCCTCGCCGCCATCGCGTGCCGAGAAGGGAGGACCTCGCACGATGCACGTTGGCGCCCATTGGCACGGCGCAGCGCGCCTCCCCCTGTCGCATCCCTTCGCGGGCGATCCTGGCTCGCTCGATGAACGTTCGTTGCAGCTCGAGCATATTCCTCTTTCCTGGATGGTTTCACCGGAGGTTACCACTTCCAAATTTAAATTTAAAATTAAATTTAAAATTAAATTTAAAATTAAATTTAAAATTAAATTTAAAATTAAATTTAAAATTAAATTTAAAATTAAATTTAAAATTAAATTTAAAATTAAATTTAAAATTTAAATCTAAATTCTAATTTAAATCTAAATTCTAATTTAAATCTAAATTCTAATTTAAATCTAAATTCTAATTTAAATCTAAATTCTAATTTAAATCTAAATTCTAATTTAAATCTAAATTCTAATTTAAATCTAAATTTAAAATTAAAAATTTAAATTTATATTTAAATTTAAATTTCGGGTTATTAGGACTATTGAAATTTGACGGAAAAATGGATCAATAGTTATTGTTTAAGAAATCTGTTACAATCACAATTAAAATTACGTTTCTGTTCATTACTATAACGAATAAACTTGAGTCAATAAATTCTGAATTCAATTAAAGAGCACTTGCGAAAGTATATGTAACAACTTATATGACAGCTTATAGGATATATACATATTTGGATTCTAGATTTAAAAGTAGGAACGTTGCGGCTCTAAGGATTAATGCAAGATATCATTCATTCATCGCACAATAGAGAAAAAAGGGACCGGGGGAGGGGGTGAGGCTGGTGAAAGGTGGGGGAGGGGGAAGGGGAGGGGTGGTGGAAGGTAGGGGAGGGGGAGGGGGAAAGGTGGGGGATGGAGGCCGGGAAGGGGATTAGCTCTGGCTCATCTGTACACTATCGGACGTTTTCCTCCAACCGTTTTTTTACCTGTTCTTAGAAATGGATTTTTGGGTGTCCTCTTTGTCACCGAGGGCAACACCGAGGGCAATTCATGCAAATAGCAGACTAAGCATTTACTGCTTTTAGTGTAAGCTCCGAATGCACGCCGTCTGCAAGCTCCGATTCGGTGTTTGTGATGCAGGATCCGCTTTTTTTGGTCCTGTTCCGTGCGGAGCCCGGTTTCTTTCAGGACCGTGAGTGGAAGTTCACGTTCACGACTTCATTTAAATATTCTGGGTGGCTTCATTTTTTAATTGTTATCACAGTTTCTCCTAATTCGTATGCACGAGACACTTCATCGAACGATTCAGATTTAGATCCCCAAAGCATGTGACTCATTAAAAAAAAAAACTTGTCATTTTTGAGTCATTTTTATATCCTACCATGTATATTAATAATATACCATATATTAATTATCAATCGGAGGGTCAGTGTCGGTTAAGCCCATGCAAATCAGAAAGGATCAAGGTCAAAGGTCCATTCAGGTTATTGTTCCCCTTAGAAGTTTCAGATTTGAACGGGAAATGGTTAACTTTCCATACCTGTGAATTGTTCTTTTTTCTTCATCAGGAATTCCATTGGCATTGCAGCCAATGGAGCCAATTTTCGCTTCACGCCTGCCAAGGTGAGCAGAAAGTCATGACGCAGTCCTTGGCTTCCGCACTGAGTCACCCTATATTATCCGGAGTCATTAATAGTACTGATTACTAATCAATGGGCACTAGATCTTGAGTGGAGACCGGGTGGAGACCGGGTGGAGACTGGGTGGAGACCGAGTGGAGACCGAGTGGAGACGGCATTCAAGGGCGATCGATGGGGAATTGGATGGTGACCGAGGAAAAAGCGAGAGCATGTCAGTTTGTTGAACCTCGAATTAGTCTTTCCAGGCCATTCTTCCGAAGAGGTCCCGTTTATATCGTAGTTTAACTGTCGTCATGACCATGGGTCATGACAACAGTTATTACAAATATGATGAGGTGCCTCGAGACAGGAAGCAGAATGAGGGGAAGGCAAACGACTGGAAACGGGTCGGTCAGTGAGGACGGAAGCAAAAAGTAGAACAGGATTTTCGGCAATCCTTTTCCAGAGAGAAAACGAAGCCGATGCTGTCGGTAATACCAAGAGCGCACGGCGTTCGCACGATCTCGTGTCGGACCGTGCCGACCGGCATTTCGTGTCGGACCGAGCCGACCGACAGTTCGTGTCGGACCGTGCCCACCGAGAAAGAGACGAGCGGATTTCTCGAAGCTTTCGCAATCGTTGCGTCGGCCGAGGCCTTGATCCCGATCCTGGCCGGTCTCGATCCTGACCGTGATCTCGATCCTGGCCGGTCTCGGCCAACTCTAGCGTCTTCGCTGGAGTCTCCCGCCTTCTCTCTCGTCGGCCCTGCTGCGTTTCTTGTGAGTATTTCCCTTCCCATCGTTTTCGACCAGGCAGCTGCCTCGAAACGCTTCCTCGCCACCAATTTCATCGATACTTCGTGCCGTTAAATCAAGTTCAAGTTTCGCGAAAACAGCAGCAGAGAGATTTTTTTTTGTTGCTTGGGAGTCCTTCGTCTTCCTCGCCACATCCTGTAATATCGAGATGAGACAATTAATGGTTTAAAATGGGCGAGGAATCAATTCCCTTTCTTGCACCAGACATCATTGTTTCATTGGTTTCATGAATTTTTTTTCTTTCAGACAGCTTTTCTGCGCTACTCGGAAACAATTTCAGCGGAATTCAACGGAATTCAACGGAACTCAACGGAATTTATCCTCTGGGACTCAATGTATTTTTTTTTTCAACCAATTGTGATGCTTTAGGAAATAATTTAATTTTAAAAGTGAAACTGGATTTTCTAATGGCCCGGTTAAACGACCACATCCCCTGGATTTTGGACGGACCGGTTTGTTATGGATGGTACGATATGAAACAGAAGTCAACTGTGAGAGAGAGGTAGAGAGAGAGAGGGAGAGAAAGAGAGAGAGAGAGAAAGAGAGAGAGAGAGAGAGAGAAACAGGATTTCTCACACATCTCTGAAGGTACCATATTTAAAAGGCATTCGGCTCTGCTCCAATGGGATTCATTCTATTCTTTCTCGCAACTCCCGGCACAACGTCGGCTCCGCTCCTGTGGGTGCCCCGTGGGTGCTCCGTGGGTGCTCCGTGGGTGCTCCGTGGGTGGCTCGTGGGTGCCCCTCTCTGCCGTGTTTTCTTCTGGGATATGCATTCGGCCTTCACCGCGTTCTTCGACTTTTCACGTTGTAGAAACGGGCACGTCACGCTGCCGATCGGGTCACCGGTCCCCGACGTTTGCGACGATGCTTCGGTCGTAGCTTGCCGAGTTTTAGTCGCAACGCGACGAAAACGCGACGCGGAACTTCCCCGAGATTTCAAACTTTCCCGTTTCGCTCGGATCCGATCGGCGGGGGAGGAGTTTCCCGACCTCTAAAAATGCTGACCTTTGACCTTCAACGTCTCAAAGGGAAAAGGTCAACCGAAAAACTTCACCGGCGAACCCTGACAACCCCTAAAAATAAATAATCTGATTTTTTGGATGAAAAGCGACTCCGGTGCCCCCGGACTCCGATGATGCACGGAGCGAATTATTCATAATTAAATAGCACATTAAATAGCTCATTAAATAGCTCCGAATGAAGATATTTCACGCCTGCGATAGCTGAATGGTTCCTGAAATGAAATTTTTTTCTGTCTATGGTTTTTTTTCCGTTTCCCCAAAGGTCAGGGGAGGATATCATACTAACCGCAGATCCGATGGAACCTTTTTTTTATTGATTCATTGCAATCGTTAGGAATTTCCATTGCGTAATCCGAGATGGTCAAGGGCACTGCCTGCTTCAGTTCGTGGGGAATGACAGAAGGAAGGACACCACGGAAAGAGGACATCACTGGGCCATCACTGGAATGTGGTTTGTATAAGCCGGTGTCGTATGATATTTCCCCCCCCCCCCCCTTAATGGAAATGAAGAGAGTTAGTTAAAAAAAAGTAGAATTGTAAGTTTGTCGATTGCAAAAAGAGAATAGAATATTTACTGTCAGAAACTGACCAAACGATATCATAGCAGAACATCCTCCTGTAGAGGACGATGTCTCTTCCTCCCTGCCTTCATTTGCCTTTTACCTCCGTTGCCTGAAATCTTTGATGTGGCCTTCATATCATATCAAACCTATCTAGTTGGCCGGGTCTTTTCATACAGGCAAATGAGAAGTTCAATGACAGTTAATATTTATTTAAAGGTTGGATGGTCAGGATGAGGCGAAGGTGATTCCAGAGGTATCAGGGCCAGTGGAATGGCAGATCAGTACTTGGGCTGGCACTCCAGTTCAGTGCTTCGCAACCGGTGTGCCGCGACGAAGTCCCCGATATGCCGCGGTATTTTCGGAATTAAAGGAAAAGAAAGAACACAATTGTGTTGGATCGAGCAAACTCGAAAATGTGCCGGGAAATAAAAAAAAAAGGCTGCGAAGCACTGCTCCTAGTTCCTTATTCTAACGAATCCTTATAGTCACGACCTTCGAAATGAAGAAGCGTCCAGTCGTCCTCCCCTCGATTGCAAGGAAACCCGGAAGCAGCTTCGTACGTGCTCATCCTCCCAAGACGTCGGAGGCGATGAGGTTGGCATTCGCGTGCTGCTCTTGCACTGCGGCGGTCGATCCGCGCTTCAGCGAAGATGTGGGGTCTTTCGTGGTCGTGTGGGTTTTTCAGTTAATCGTGTGGGTTCCGGCTGTATTTCGTGGTCGTGTGGGTTCTTTCGTGGTCGTGTGGGTTTTTCAGTTAATCATGTGGGTTCCGGCTGTATTTCGTGGTCGTGGTTGTCCGTGTCAGTGAATTCCTTGGAGAGTCTGCCTTCTTTTTTCATTTAAAACATTTAAAGGGCTAAAGGTTGTCGAGGGTGGGGGTGGGGGCTTTGAGCACCCTCTTCAATTTTTACGTAATAAAACTTTTTTTTAACTTGGCATTCCTACTTAATATGTCTGCTTAAGAAGTTTCCGGTTTCTGCCTGTCCCTTCGTTCGGTAGATAAATGCTTCCGACTGAGCACTGTCAGATTTGAGTTGGACCTTTCTCGAAGGTTCCACGAGAGGAAGCAAAGGTCACACTCGGGAGACAGATTCCTCGGCTTCAGATTCTCATCCGAAGACGTTTGGAGATGAAGAACTTGCAATTCCTGAGAAGAGTCAGCCTCCGGGTCCACGGCGTCGTGGGAGATCTTTTCTTCAAGTATGGAAACTCCTACTTCCCATTTTCCAAATCGAGCGATCCGAGGCGCGTTATTGCACGGATGAAAAAAAAACCTTCATCTTCAATCCTTTTCTTGACCGATGAGGAATCTCGCTTAGAAAGTCGAATTCAAACTCGCCAGTAATCGCTTTGCAATTTTCCTGACAGCATGGCAAAGATTCCTGTGATACGGACTTTTGCCCTTCGTTCAAATCTTCGTACTCGCGGCGCGTGGAACGACTGGCGTACGTCTGAAAATGTGTTGTCTAATTGAATTCATTTCGATTGGTAGATTGTGATTGACAACATCCAGTAATGGATTGTGATTGGCAATTTCCAAAAATGGATTGAAAAGTGGGGAAATTTGGATAGCTGTTCATATCACGCTTTACTCCGGCTGAGAGAGACGCACGAAAAACCTGACGAGTTGAGCAACGTTTTCATGCCCCTAAAGGTGCTTGTGATAAGCGTTTAAAACGGGAAGATCTTCTGCCTTTTGAAATATTTTCTAAATATGTCAAAAAAATTTTCAGAAAGAGATTCTGTTGCGTCGGAGGAATTACGCTATCTCTATTCGTCAAACTTTTCACCTAAGTCAAACACCTTAAACTTGTCGATATCTCCCTCACTTGGACAATGCATTGAAACCGGCAATTTAACAGAATTAACAGATTTCCCCAAATTAAAATAGTCCAGCTGACTATAGCGAAGTAAATAAAGTCACAAGACTCACAGGCCACGACGGAGGAGATTGAGCCCGGTGACAGCCTCCACAATGTCGACCTCCCGGCAGTAATCTTCCCATCTTCCATCCAGGCTCGGCTGCCTATTGGCGCACAGACCGTGGACGTTCATCCTCGCCACTGTCATCTTTTCGTCGTGCCTCATTTCGGGGATCCTTCACTGGCGAGAGGAGGAAGGAGGAACCGTGAAAGCCTGGTTCGCCCCGGGGACTCCTCTCTATCGAACTGATCGGTGGATCAAGAAAAACTTCCCGAACTTAGTTCGGTACGAAACAATTATCCTTTCTGGGCCTAATATCCTCATTCCGGAATACTTCAAATATGTGAGACCATGCCACAACTCTTTAATTCAGTTCTTAATTTTCAAAATGTGGAATGAAGTCCTGATTCTATGGATTTTCTTGCAGATGGGGACCCTGGACAAGAAAATTCGATCCTTGGTATCCAATGGATATGCCTGGGAGGACGTCTGTGCGAGGTACAGTGCGCTATCAGAAACAAATTTTGTACTATGAATGCTATAAAAAAAAAAGTCATACGAATTTTGCAAGTGACTGGGAGAAATGTCGACAATGCGATGATAGTGAAGTCGAGTGCTTGCCTGTTTGTTGCAATTACTTGCGACAGATGAATGTTTTTATGACTCACGCAGGCCAGAGGAATTCTTAGAGGGATACAAAAAGGAGGAAAGAAGGCGAAGAGATACCGAAGCTCAAAGTCTTTGGCATGCAGAGGACCGACGTCTCGACCCAGTCCATGGTATGCATTTTGACCTACGAGTTATAATGCTTCTTTAAAAGCCACGTCGACAAAGGGAAATAAGAATGAATGGTTTCTTCAAATATTTCTGCCATGTTTGTTCTCTATCTTTTTTGTGTGAATTTCGAAATCACTTTCAAAATATCATGATTTTACTCATCACTTTAGGGGAAAATAGCGCTCTTGACGATGTAGTGCCGACTACAGAATCAACAAGCAGGCAATCACAAAAGACAGCAGCAGAAATGGGCAGTGATTCTACTGGTACCATGGAACCGGAATCGTCACTACTACCAATATTGATATCATCCTTGACAGCAGAGAATCTTGAAACAACGAAAGAAAATGAAACGACGACGACACCTACAACAGTGACAACAACAGCAAGGATCAGTCAAGCCGAAGTTGATCGAGAAGGCGATTCTAAAGAACTCTTGCAGTACGACGATTACAATTACGGCTGGAAGGAGGATTCGGACGCATTGGAGGTCTTCGGAAGTGAGAAGGAAGAAAGAACTCTGTACGATGATAGATGCATCTATTCCAGCACCCTTCAACTGTGGGCGGAAGATTTCGACTTCAGCACTATCACAACGGTGGAGATCCTGGACAAAGTTACTCGAGCCCTCGACGACGAGTGAGTTTAGGAATGAAATCATTCTCATTTTGCTAGGGTGTCACTTAAAAGGATCAAATTTGTATATTTTGACATTTTTTTTATATGTGCTCCCTCACTTTGAAAATTGTGGGAGGGGGATGGCAACTTTTCTCCTCTTGAGCCTCATTGAAAAATCATATAGAGGATATTCTATCATAATTGAAAATTTCGGAATCATACTGCAGATTTCAGGGGAAGAATGGATCTGCATAGTTATTCGGGAAGCATATTGTGCTTATGTTCCTTCTGGGTTGCGGTTTATTTGAGACTGTGGTATAGCGAGAGGGGGCGGGGGGATGGGACGGGTCGGAGTGCAAGTCGTCGGTGGGGTGGGGCACTTCCTCATGCTTAGCCCTTTGAGGGCCATAAACGTATAGGTACGTCCATTCTCCGGAAAGTTAAAAAAAAACTCGGTGCTCAAAGGGTTAAATAGCGATCAGTCTTTCTGTTTATAATATGACAATGGAAATGAAGATATTTCCGAAGAAGTCATGGAAGGAAGACTTCCAGTCAGAACCAGGGATTTCTCGCCTTTTTTCATTTCTACTGATAGCGCCTCTATCTCACTATCACACGCATTCCAAGCCACTGGTATCCTCTTGTATGCCGCAAGTCGCAGGCTATTTTAGCACGTAACGATCTCAATGTACCGCCCCCTCCCCGCACCCCTCGTTGACGGATTTTCGTCGACTGGACGGCCTGGCAAGGCTTGCACGTGACGATTATGCATCGGAATTGATGCATCTTTCCCTTCAAATTAAGATATACAAGGACGAAAATCGGAAAAAATGCATCCTAAAGATGCATTTTACCGATTTTCCGAATGCATGCGTGCATAACAACGAAAAGGATTTCACACTCGAGAGACACGAGCAGGATTCTGGAATTCGTATCATAATTAGGTCACGGAATGACGTGAAGGGGATGTTTTCTGAGGTGGAGAGAGACGAAAGCGGAAGAGTCGTGGGTGCAGCGGCCGTCATGTTCGTCTACATCCTGAAGGACCGAGCGAATGCCACCAACAGAAAGGGTCAACCGGTTAGTGCTTTCAATGTTTTAGATATTGCACGTTCTGTGATGCTCTCATTCGTTAGATTCCATTCTCCTCCCAACCCAGTTGCCATGCTCCAACTGCACTCGATCTTGAAAAATCCCCGGCGGCTATTCATAGGGGGTCAGGGGGCTCGAGCCACTCAAAAATTTGGCTGAAGGGTCTCACAGCGAGGAGAGCGAGGACATGAGAAATAAGGAATACTTGTAAGAGTATTGTTTCTATATTTCCCAAGATATCGCCGCCTATGGAAAAATCACTGAGATTTTGCAAAACCTGCGTGAAAATTCAACTCCCATAAATTACAGGAACCTGGAACCAAAGGTTTTTGGGTTTGTTGTGACACTGGGGGCGTCTTTCCATGCCAAGAATAAATGTTTCGATAACAATCTCCATTAGAGAATGCGACTGGTTAGCGATGAAGAGAAATGTTAGGCAGAAGCAGGTGTGCGAGTTTCATGGTGTCCAGGACTTGACTAAACGTGAGGAATTTCGCATCCGGCCCTGACCTAGGCCTCTGCTACCTTACCTCAGCCTGATGCGCGAGTTCGAGAAGACTATGTTCAGAGTGGCCATAGCCCATGGACAAAGCGGAAAAGCTATGTTCAGACGATTCCGGGACACATTGTTCTAGGGATCCTGTTGCTCTCTGTTTATTGTGATACGGCCGTTGTCGTGATGCGATTCGGTATGTCGAAAGAAGAAATGTCGACATGGAAGTAGTCGACAGCAAAAATTGAGATGGAGACAATGTAGAAATGTAGGAATGTGAAAACCGATTTCAAAGGTATTACCTTTCTTCAACCTCAACCCAACCAATGATTTTTTAATTTAATAATTTTAATTTAATGATTTTTTACGTCTTCAGCTATCTGGGTGTTTCAAACTATTGATGAGTGACGATCATCCAACTCATCTTGTGACAATCAAGATGTGTCTGTCTCCCATCAGGTCGATCTGATCGCAGAGCCGTGGGAGGAGAAATTCCTCGAATTGATGTTCCACAACGGCCTCCCCAAACCTCCAGGCTTGAAGACTTATGCCAATGCAGAACGCAGGTAGGATGGGATTCTCGGATCTCCTCGGGCGAGGCATGACTAGCGTCTCAAATGCCAACCTCGAGCTGTTTCGAATAGCTTTCGAGATGGGATCGGAGATATTACGGAGAAGAACATGATCTATTTCGCTCTTGGTTTCGTTCTCATCACCATCTAGGTGGCCATCAACATGGGGAAATTCAATCTCCTTGAACAAAGAGTGAGTGCCTGCGGTCGATTATTTCTTCCTTTCCGTATTACATATTTACAATATATGTTCATTTCATGTGTACCGTATGTAAGTAATCAAATGGCGTCCTCTAAGGGAGGACAGAAGTAGTCACGTAATATGATTACGTCTGACCTCCCTTAGAGGACGAAACATTTATGTAATTTGTTTTGTGCGTCGACGAGAAAAGTGATGACTTGCATTTACCGAGATTAATACTAATGCGGTCCATAAGTCCGATTCGGTAATCATGCGTATGACTCAAACGAGGCTGAGAGGGACTGGGAGGGACTGATAGGGACTGGGAGAGACTGAGAGGGATTGGGAATCAGTTTCCCGGAGCAATCGTGTATCTTGACGATTTTCTAGCTATTTCTTTGAGCCAGAAAATCCGGGTTCCGTCTATTACTTCTCGAACGTCCTTATTCCGGGTCTTTTTTTAAGTTTTCAGGGCATATTTTGCTAAAAATTGCATTGGTCGTTTCAAAGTAACGAAATTTACCTTCGAAGAAAACTTGAGATGCTTGATGCGATGCTTCTCATATTCTGATAGGCAGGAGGTAAATGTAGTTGTTTAAACTATGAAAAACTTTTTTGGAAAAAATCCATGCGTAATGAAGTACCCTCAAACCTAAAGAAAAAAAATTAAGCAACAGGAAGGAGTAGAGGAAACTTGAAATTTGAATATGGAGTATATGTTTCAATGTTCAAGTTTCAATGGCATGGGCGAGGCGATGTGGAGAGAGATACTTCTTTTCTACCAGGTATATGTCAAATGCTAAATCTGTACTGCATGGTTCAGAGATAATTTGAAGATAATTTACTTAAATGCTTCATGATGCTTCATAAGTGCTTCATGGCACTGAATGGCATAAAATCTTCACATATTGCTAAATATGCCTTGAATGCGCAACAAATCCACGAGATTCCTCTTATGGAGGCTTTTTGATGGTATCTTACATCAATTAACGGTGTATTTTTTTTGGTGGATCTCAATGCACTTGATCAATGTTTCCTGTTTAGGTCTACCTGGGCCTGACCGTGGTGCTGTGCATCGGACTGACGATCGTGAGTGCGGCTGGGCTGTGCCTCTACATTGGGTACATCCCGACAGAGATTCACAATCTGATGCCTTTCCTCATCCTCGGAATCGGCATCGACGACTCGCTCGTCATCATCTAGGTGACTCGTTACGACCTCCGTGCGTCTCTGAGTCTCGTCTCTCGCGAGGTTTTCGTCCACTCGTGCTGCTTGAGGTATGAATGAAAGGAAAAGCCTTGCGATGCGGGTCCATGATGATTGAAGCGTTGTACGATGAAGCCTGAAAATTTTTTACTTAAAAGAATATCTTCATAAATATTTCTTCAGGAAACAACCCCATCGCAACATTCAGAGTCCTGTTTCTTTTGTCAAATTTGTTTGAAATCAGTCAGGATTTCAACTTCCAAGGAGAACAAAATCTCACAACTGGCTATAGAAAGAAAAGTAGGGGTTTCAGATGTTTGTCAAGAATTGCCATTCATATGCATTGGGGTATTCTGAAATTGACAAAAACCCGTCGATGATGGATGATGCCGGATTTTATTCTACTCTAATACTAGCACATCTCTTACTCTCGCAGAAATCAAGTCATGCGAGAGTATGAGACATCAAAACTTTCTTGACTGATGAGCTTGATGAGATCGATGAAGGAGGTGTAAGGCTTAAGGTGTAAGGATTTTGCGTGCCAGTGTGCACTGGCACGCAAAATCACAAAATAATAATTTCGGTGGTATTGGTGTGTAATAATAATATAATCTGCTCAATCGAACTTCCAATCCTCACATTAACCGTGCAGCGACATTTTATTCTAACTATTTCCTTTCCCCATCAATGATACCCAAGTAGCGTGTACCCAGTGGGCCAGGGGCAGTCATGTATCGACTGGAAGGCGGCTGGTAGCCGCCGGGCCACATCATCAAGGATATTGATGAATGGGTCAACGTTGTTGAAGGAGGCGAGGGGGGCGGGAGGGGAACATGCAGCAGATGCCCCACAACTTGGCTCAGGTGATCGACCACCGGCTCTCTTCCCATAACGAGGCTAGCATTTTCCCCTTCCACGTTTTACAATCCCAACTGGATGGCATACATGCTCCTCTAGAGTCTTTGAACGCAAACCCACATTGCTGACGTAGAAAAAGAATTCCCTTCTCCATTTCTCTTTTTATGTGATTCTTGGACAGATATGAAAAAGTGGAATGAAATTTCTGACCGCAATATAAGATTCTGGAAAATAACATGTTGAAGTTCCTTATGAAAACAGAAGTGCAAAGAGCCTAAACAATATTCCAGTTAGCAGTCCAATTTATTCCTTGCACAAGATCTACACTCAATTTTCCGCTCTCGTCGTTCATTTCAGCCACTGTATGGGGATGGATTAGCTTTCAAAAATAACATCTACTGGCGCCCATAATGAGACTAGAAGGAGGAAGTGAATGTTTTTCTTTTAGCTTTTTCCCCCGATATAACTCCTATACTTGAGGTTGTAGTGAGTCGTTAGCGGGTCGAAATACGGCAGTTGGTAGCCCTTAACCTAGTACAGTTGAGTTCCCATCAGCTATCTTTCCACAACGTCGCTAGTGACCCACAAAATACATGCTACTTGGTTACATTTCAACCTCGATTATTGCCATGCAATAAAAAGTCGATGGACGTAACCGAAATGTGATGTTGCTGTAGTTCTTGGAGAACGTGGTGTCAAAAGAAAGAACTTTGAACCCGGAGGAACGAGTGGGAGAAGCGTTGAGGCAGGCTGGAGTCTCCATCACCATCACGTCCATCACGGACGTCTTTGCCTTCGCCATTGGAGCCACTACGGTCTGTTTGCATCATTGTCTTCTCGGCGTCTTTCACTGGTGTTTATGATTGGCAGAGGCGCAATCTTATCGGGTGAATTGTGCTACTTACTTCCTACTCTTCTTAAATGCCAACAAATATGTATTCGAAAAATTGCGTGTCCAAACCGCTTCACAAAATCTTTTACTCCTGGTATAAAATGGTACCTAGAATGCCACAACGAGATCTCAGCTGGTATATATAATTCATATCGCATATGACTTCTGATCTGTCATGATACTCTTCGCCTTCTGCAGGTGTTAGTCGCACCTGAGTGCCTTCTGTTCTCGTAGAGCTCTTGCTGGCGACAAGTAGGCACATCTCTGATATTTTTCTGAAAATGAATTGTATCCAATTCAGGAAAGCGGCCTTCGTTTGACAGGCAGCTGCTGAAGTAAACGTGGATTTCAATAATTCTGTCCGTAGCAGTAATAACTTGCTTATAACACTTAAAGGCAGCATAAGAGTAACTTAGACACCCCTTGCGTTCGGCTTGATATTGAAGAACCTTAAGGCGGTAAATAACTTGGCTAATCCCCAGCTAATACAATTATATATCAAGATAGACATTGCCCTTCAATTTGCGAAGAAATTGGGACTTTTGCAAGGATTGAATATTTCACAGAAAGGAAAAACAAAGCGGACTCATACAGAATATTTTAGCCAAAATGCGGGAAAAGCACACTGACGCATATTCGAACGGGTGACAAACGATTTAAATGCAGAAATTAATTGCTGTGGGCATTTGTGAATGAAACTAGTCACAAATACGCACCATTGGTACTAAATTCTCCCAGAGAAATATTCGATCAAAATTGACCCCTGGAAGCTGGAGATGCTCGCATTGAGCACTTCTGACATGCGAAGTTTCCCGGACAGTGGGCGTCGAGTACTTCGTGCGCACAATGAAAAAATAAATAAATCGGACGCAACAAAGGAACAGTTTCAGGCATACACTCTTAAAACGTAACTTTTGCGTGACTTTACGCAGACGTTCCCCCGGCGTTTAAACGGCATTTGAAAGGTTTCTAGGGGTGCGGAACCTTCGCGTGATTTGAACCTCTCGACATGAAAGTTAAAAGAGAGTTACCGAGATGTCGTAACTTTCGATTCCTACACTCTACAATAATATTTCAATTAATTGGGGAAGAGAGGCAGTTGGAAGAGGAAAAACTAGGAAATAATATATCGTATCGTGGTCACGTGGCTGGGTTCACCCGTCAATATCGGGATGTCCGTGTGGCACAAGGTCCCTCTCGGACCACATGCTTCCTTGTCCTTCAGGGTGGAAGGTTGAAAATCCCTATCTCTAAAGAATGTTCATGGGACGAGGGCAATGTCTTTAATAAAAGGTTAATTCCAAATTGATTAAGCGATCTGGTGTCACGGGAACTGACATGATTTTTAGGCATGATTCGAAATGTCTAAATGTGACAAAAGCATCATGGATAACTTTTGAAAGATGTAACTTTTGGATAACCTTCCTTCTTTTACGTTAGAATTAGCTTCGATTTCAATGGTAGAAACTTGGTAATTTTCTAACCTTTAGTACCGGTTACTCAAAGGTTACATGTATAAGAGTGCAGCTTTCTGACGTTGCATTGACGTGACGATTCCGTGATGTGATAATTCCACGTTTCTGGCGAGTATTCCCTTTGTCTTAGAAGTTACTTATACAGGGTGTCCCGTAATTGACTGAAGATGAGGAGGTTTCATGCCCAAGTCCTTTGGACTTAGAACTCTGCTACTTTAGTATCAGGCGCGAGACCTACATGAATATGCTCTAAGCCAAAAAGTCTGAGTACAAATCCTATCTACTAGGTACAGTCATTTCTAAAAAGGAAATGTTTCACTTCAACATCATCGAATGATGATCATGCGGCCTGCAGCTAGAAATATTAAGAACTATGTCGATTCCGAATGTCATGATCTTTTCTGTTCTTCAGAAGATTCCACAAATATTGATGTTTACCATCTGACCAGAGAGTACCAGTGCTCCGGAGCTTCTGCATCTACACGACCGCCGGGATTTTCATCGTCTACGTCCTGACCTTGATATTCATGGTCCCGATTCTGTCTTTGGACGAAAGGAGACGAGACAGCGGGAGGGAAGGATGCTTGTGCCTTCGCTTGCCAGCCGACTACAAGAAGAACCGTTGCTCCCAAAAACTCCTGCTCGAAGTCATTTTCCGCAGGATCTTCGGGCCTTTGCTCGTCAAAACTCCAGTGAAGGTTCGTCAATTTCACGCGTTCGTATTGACAGAAACATTCGCAATTTCACGAGGGTGTAGTGATAGTACAAGTGCATGTCTTGCAGGTCGTTGTGGTGCTACTTACGATGGGACTCTTGGGTCTCAACTGTTGGGGATTGTCTGGGTTGAAGAACGACTTCGACAGAACCTGGTTTTTCAATCCGGGGTATCAGAGAGACTTCGTGTCCGCTGTGCAGGATCTCTTTCCAGAAAGCGGCTATAGAGCTGATTTTTATCTTGGTGAGTCTATAAGGACATGCAATGCCGATTAGATGTAGTGAATTTATCAATGAGAAAGGAGTCTTTGGCAGGGAATACGGATTACTTCAGGGAGAAAGAAGCACTGGAAGAGTTATTCAATAGACTGTCGGCTCTTCCAGGGATTAAGAATGGATCTATTGAATTCTGGCACCACTCTTTCCTGGAGTATCTCAAAGAAAAAAAAGGCAAGCCTATCCGAATAATGAATGTTTCTACAAAAGCGATGCAATTGACCCTCACAAGACGTCCACCTCCCATGTGGATTTGTAAGCAGGCAGATATCCTCCTAAATAGTGTTCCACCTGTTGGAGCGATGAACCACCCGGGGAAAATTTCACCTGGCTTGCAATACATGTGCGCAAATGGGTAGGTATATTTCCACCAGGGGGGGACGTTCATTTTGTTCCAAATGCACTACATATCCACTTAGATGTTCAAGTAAGTGGTTAAGGGGTGGACGTTTTGTAAAGGGTTACCCAAGCAACTTCGGTAGGGGGACCGCTGAGAAACTGACTTTAAACTCGGCTGAACACTCACTTGCGAAACTGTCATGTAGTAGGGTCGTGTAGGGAAGGGGCATAGCCAGTTGACTAGTCTTGAAATTTTGGGGGATTGCGCGAAAAAGGTTTCCTCCTTTTTGCATGGAAACACGTTGAAAAGGCTGTGCAAGCGGCCAACTCTCGGTAATCCGGACATGAGATAGCCGGCGATTTAGTCTGGATTTTCGAGAACCTTATTTTCTCTTTTCTCGGTTTCACTTCTCCGCCATGGACCGAGTAGGAGCCATGAGAGAATATTGATTGCATAGGAGGAAATGAAAAACGTGCGAGATTCTAATCTTTCTCGGCCTTGGAATCGGTTTGTTAAGGAGTGACACTACGTGCCAGAAATTCGGCCAGGCAGGGCTGAAAAAGGAAACCCATGCAGTCAGGTTGAGTGCCGAATGGTGAATGGACAGTTAGCTTTCGCTATGAGGCCAAAGCTGACCCGATTATCATTATATCTAAATAGAATTAGCGAGAATTCCGTCAGGTGATGTGAGTTATATTTTTCAGAGGACTATCCGAAAACCTAAGCAGCATTCGAAGACAAGCTTTCCACCTTTCTGGTCTTCACCAACAAGGGAAGGAAATTTATGCGCGATCTTAAATACACCGGGAACCTCTTAACGGACTTCAACCTAACAGTGAGTGGATGCTGTAAATTGACGAGAGATTGGTCTTTTGGATCGGGAAGGTATGAAATGTGTATCGTTCCGTTCAGGCTTCGAGAGGTAGGTACCAACACATTTATTTCAACACCGGGGACGAAAAACGACAGGGACTCCGCGAGGTGGAAGAAATTCTGCACGGAGTCCAATTCAAAGGGAGAGATCCATTCAGAGGAATCCTCACTTTAGAGTACCTCGTCATCCGATCGACCGAGGCAAGCGGTTTCCACTCTTTGAGTGCGCATCTCCGTGGTTCGAGTGAAACTTTTTCCCCACGTCCACGTAATTTGTATGCAGCATTCGAATGTGCCAGAGTTTGATTTACGGGGACAGTGTCTTTGCGATGTGCTGAATGTCTATTGGTCCAGTTGGATTTCATGGTCGTGAGTTGCTTTCGAAGAAATAGTTCCATACGGTTTCTTCAATTTAAGGTTGCAACCTATTTCAGATTTTTAGAATATTTCAGTTGTATTCATTTTTATTCATTCATTTTTCATTCAGTTACTCTTAATTACAAATTTAGGTGAAGCTATGTGCATTTTTTGCATTCTTGGATCGAGCAGAATAGAGAGAAAGCATGCTTTGGGTTTACTTTTTTTTCTCTTCTTTTGGGTTGCATTATATTACCTGGTTTCAGCATCGGTGGGCATCACAACTGAGTTTCTGTTGGTCTTTCAAAATTCCTGTATTCAGACGGCAATATTTATTCCTGGCTCAACTCGAAACATTTGGAAGCTCGTTCCTTTGCACCGTCACCCCATTTATCAATTAAGAGAAACGAACAAACTTTGTATCGAACTGCCAGCTACATCAATAGATAAAATTGCTCTTGTCACAAGAGCGGAAATGCTCGAAGTGATAATATCTCATTATAAAAAATGGTCAATAAGTGAGTTCACCGAACGACTTTCGGCTATTCTAATTTCTTTTTAACTTAGGATTGCTACTTATGTTAAGTGATATTTTTGTTGCTTTATTTTAAGATCTTATTAATGATGAAAGTACCGATGTGGCTCATGGACTTACCAAAAGTCAAAGAACTGTAATCGTTGTTCATTAATCGGGTACACTTATGGATCTCCCTACACTTTCCTCACGTCCATCTCTTGATGCCGACGGGTTGATGCAAATGAATGCGGTATAGATCGGGTATGACTCGTATTGGCTCCAGCAGACGTAATGGAGATGCTGAATGGCACACTGGCTTTCCTGAAGTGATTTGCATTTTACTCCAAAGGTTGTATCCGAGGAGCTGCTGAGGAATCTTGGTCTGACTTTGGTCGGAGTGTTCGGGGTGACATTGGTGCTGATTGGAGACCTGCAGGTCTCTATTTGGGTTTTCTCCTGCATTCTATTCACCCTGATCGGAATCGCAGGCAGCATGCGATTCGCCGGTCTTACCATCGAGCTCATGTCGTCAGTTCTTCTCATCTTGTCTGTCGGCTTGGCGGTCGACTATTCCACGCACATCGCTCACAAATTCTTGGTCACTCATGGCGATTCTAAAGACGGTACTGGAAGCATCTTACCATCGAGCTCATGTCGTCAGTTCTTCTCATCTTGTCTGTCGGCTTGGCGGTCGACTATTCCACGCACATCGCTCACAAATTCTTGGTCACTCATGGCGATTCTAAAGACGGTACTGGAAGCGCTCTACTTCTGAGAAGAGCTCTGCTCTGCTGAGAAGTAGGAAATATAATGTTTTGTTCGTTTCATAGACCGAGTGAGAATCACCTTGGCAGAAATTGGTCCACCCGTTTTCAATGGAGGTTTTACGACAATGATGGCTTTTGTGTTTTGTCTTTGGAGCGAAAATTATCTCTTCCAAATTACCCTCAAGGTGAGTTTCTATATACCAACCCCGCGATAATTTGGTAACAAGTGTGTCTTGAAGCACACCAGCGAAAGCTTTATTAATGGTTTTTGCGGCAGGTTATATGGTTTTAGGTGATATATGGGTTGTATCACGGATTGGTTTACCTGCCGGTGATGCTGAGCTGGTTCGGTCCACAACCTTATGTTGACTCGCTCCATTCAACCAAGAATAGCCCTGCCCAGAGCGGCCTCGATCCCGGTCTAGGGGAGGCTCCAGAGAAGCCTGACGCCGGAAAGACAAATCCCTCAAGCCTCAAGGTAACTGCAGTGTTGGAATTCTATCAACTTAAGGTGGTATAATAAACAAAGTTCCGAGTATCAACCATGATATTTAAAGGACTTTCACTCTTGGGAAGAAATTTGCAGTGGCGCATTTGGTGGGGGAGGGTAGAGGGGAGGGGAGTGAAGAAGGCTTTTCAATACTTCGTAAAGAAGGCAGTCCTGACCTCTGAACTCTAAACGCCTCTTGGTAGTGATAAGGTGCCCTGCCATGTTCAAGCAATTATGAGAAAGTTTTCCATGCTTCGATTTATCATTTGGATGTTACATTACCCTTTAGGTGTTCAATTATTAACATTATTGGGGAATTTTTCCGAAAAAAAGGCAAATTAGTACTTTTCTAAACGTTCTAAACGTTCCGTCTGCATCGAAATTGAGTCGATTATGGTTTGAAGGCTGTCTAGTGTATTAATCTGTTCTTCCAGACAAGCTTTCTCCGATCCGATCGGAAATCATTCACGACGGATGGCGAAGGGGGAAACTGCAAGGAAGAAATCTTCTTCCGTCTCTCCGATTCGCAATGACACCGAGTCCTGCGCTGGGACGTATCGCCTTCGGCTTCCCAGTATCAGCTGACTTTCATCTGCTTCAAAATCCCATCTGTGATGTAATCTTCCGTGACCTCGAGCAACATCAAGACGCTTGCAGTACAAGCTGGGAGTTCAGGGGAGATCCCGGCGGGGAGGCTTTGGGCTTGTTTTCATTTCTCATGTTAAGCTTGTAACGTGTGCAATGCTTGTGCTTTGAGACATTCTGGAAATCTATTACTCTCCGTGAAAGAAAATAATGTGAACATGACTGTTAATCTCTTTCAAGTCCCCTACTTCGTGACACACGTCAATTCAGAATGACAGGAATCAGAGATAAGGCATTATTCGTACTTACTGCGCACAATGGATATTGGTTGCTTCCCAAATTTCATTTTTTGTCCCATTCCTTCTTCCTCGTCATTAGAAGGTAAATTCGAAACAAAAGAGCTGTGGGAAATCGTCGGTATGGGGAAAGTTGTAGCCGTGGAATGTTCCCTTTGGCCTGCCTTGGACGTCGAGGACAGAACTTCAAAGACGACGACGCTGAATTGACGTGACTCCGCAGACGCGACAAAATGTGCGACAGCAATGGTATGCGCGCTCTAACAAATCATGGAGGCAGAAAAAATAACAAAAATATAAAAAATGTGCAACATCAAACATGAAACACATCGGAACGTCATCACGTCCACTTGTAAAAGCCGAAGCAAAGAACTCGTGGAGGATCGTGATCATTGTTTTGCTCTCTGCAACCTTGAAGAATGTGTGTTAAGGCTAGACGGAGGACATTGGGGTATTGGACGAGGAACTTTATGCGAGAGCATCTTCCCTATGAGTCGATCGGCACAGTCGTGAGTTGACAATGTGGGTGACTCTCATCCGGTAGTAGTAGGTCATTAGCCTACCTATCCCATAATAGATTCATTTTAATTGGCTTATTGTCAGTGGTATCTCATGGCAAGTGGAAAATATGAGGATTCCCTTAACTGAAAGAAGGCCCATTGCTGGACTGGGTTTCTTACCTCAGAGTTCTACTTTGCATTCCTGAAAGTTGTAGCTGTGGAATGTTCTGTTCGGCCAGCTATGGACGTCGAGGACAGAACTTGAAAGACGACAACGATGAGAGGGTCGCTGCATGGATATGACTCCGCAGACGCGACAAAATGTGCGACAGCGATGGCATGCACACTCTAACAAATCAAGGAGACTGAGAAAAACAAAAACAAGAAAACAAAAAAAAAGAATGTGCATATACCTCTCAGGGTAAAACCGCCTAAGTTCGGACACAGCTGCAAACCTGTTCCAAAAGTAAACATTCGCGGGCCGCCTTCAGAAATGGTTCTTTTTAACATGAGATGAACGCGTTACTGAGGGAAGGAAAAGCGGTGGCGATCATGAATTTGCACGATTCCAAGATATCGGGCTTAGGCCAATGTTACATCGCGAACGGGAGGAATTCAAGAAACCGAAAGGAGAGAACCTTACTTTTAAAACGTTTCTCACTTGAATTTTTATTTCTGTGCTCAATTCTTACTTGCCAGGAAACTAGGAGGACATGGAGTCCTGTTACGCAGAATGCACATGCATTGATCAGTCCTACTTTCGGTATGTCCGAACCTAGATCAAGAAATGGGAAAGTCCGGAGCTTCTCCAAATTTCTACTTTGCATTCCTACTTCATGTGTCTGTTACACAAGTTTCCAATTTTTTGCCTGTTTTTTTTTTCTGTAAATAGATGGACGCTTCCGACTGAGCTCTTCCGGATTTGAGATCGATTCGTCTCAGAGCTTCCATGCGACGAAGAAAAAAGGGATTTGCACTCGAGAGAAGATTTTCATCTGGAGTCGCATGATATGAAATTGCAGATCCTGAGAAGAGTGAGTCTCCGGGTCCACGCCGTCGTTGGAGATCTTTTTTTCGAGTATGAAAGCTGCTACTTTCCACTTTTGAGATATTCGCAGTTATTTTGGGCGTAGTAATGTGTCTGCTGCGCGAAAAAAAAGCCTCACGTGCCGTCATCTTCCTTTACTTGGTTGATAAAAAATCAACAGAAAAAAAAAACAAATAACACCAGCCAGTAATTTGGAGGACTTTGATACTTTCCTGACAAAAGTGGCGGTGATTCCTTTGAATTGGACAGCAGCCGTTTGCTCAAATCTTGGCAAATCTCTGACACAAGTTCGCAATCACTAGCGTGCGTTTGAAGATGGAGGCGATTTCCAGTTATGGATTAACAAGGACGATGATTTGGGGAATTTCGGCAGGAATTCATGTTCTTTCGCTTCAATCCTGTTGAATGAGACACGCGAAAATTCTGATGATTCGCCAATGTTGCCTTGAAGTAATCCTTCCTGTCACGAGGCTTACGTTTATTTTTTGTTCTTAATCGTGTTTCTATTTTCAGCAAAATGGAACGGTCTTCCTATTTTGCAATATTTGTGAGGAATTGCTATTTAGGACGTTGATTACCTAGCAAGGGAGCTGCATGACCTTACTTGTCCCTCATTAGGTCCATCGCCCGAATTGGTATTCTAGAAGCCCATAATGTGTTGCGATCAAGTCGCCCGTGGCATTCCTAATTTCACGGTTGCCAGATAATTTTCACTGTGTCTATTGGGGTAATGTGGGCATTCGAATTGCAACTGTTTCTTCGCATTGACAACGAGCGAGCCCTGTTTCACGTGAGAATTAAGCTATGGCCACCGAGTCGATTTGCTTATTCTGCCGGGAATGGACTGTTTGACTACATGATCATGGACTCATTTGCATTACAAAGTAACCTGTTTTTACTGTTTGCTACTATTTACCACTTCGCTGGCCGTTTTGTTCCAGTTGGAGGAAAATAAGCAATTGGAAGGGTTCGAATTTTAATTCTTTCATTATTTATTATTGAAACTGAATTTTTTTTTGGAATGCACAGTTGTATGTTATAACGTAACAATGGTGTATTAATCCGAGAAACAAGTGAGTTGGCAATGATTTAAAACAGATAATAGTTTAGGCAAACAAGGATGATTACCATGAAAGACACCCAAATAGGCCAAGACTGTCGATCGTTGCATTCCGGTAGCATTGGTAGCGAAATTCCGGGCAACAGGTGGTGTTCTCGATACTAAAACAAAAACCCAGCGCAACAGGAAAAGGTGGCATAACAATACTTCTAGCCCAAGTGTCCACACAGCCGCAACAATCAACGACAGAGATGTTAAGAGCTGTGGGCATTAGTGAAAAGACAATCAGAAAGGAAAACTGAATCCCCAAAAATTCCAATGTTCACTCACTTTTGCCCCACCCTGTATATTCCTGAACCTCATACAAGGAATTGATCAGGTTGTTCCAAGTAGACTTGGACCTATATTAATGGAGGTGTCTGAGATTTTGAGAGACTAACTTGGAAAACTTCCTCTAACTTTCAAGTGAAACAAGGGAGGCGGCGGGTCAAACAGGTGGCCCGCGGATAGGTGACCCGTCTGTCTTAATGGGAAGTGTCTGCTTAACACGCACGCCACTATGTGAGCCATGTTTAGGTGATATGGGTACAGGCCACCTTAAAAATCACTAGTGGCAGTCCTGGACTTAGACACCCGTGAGCTGCCCCTGAGGTTTCCTCTAGGACCACAGTGGGGTGTCCCTGTCCGATGGACTGTGATCCTGTGCCAAGCAGGGATTCCGTACCTCTTATGCATTGTAATACATCCGTTCTCGTACGTGTTGTAGTTTCATTTAATGATTTTTTCAATCTTCAACTGTATGATAGTCATTCATCGAACTTTCGATGAATGACTATCATCTAACTCATCTTATGACAATCAGGACACATCTGTCGCCCTATAGATCGATCTGATCGCAGAGCCGTGGGAGGAGAAGTTCCTCGAATTGGTGTTCCACAACGACCTCCCCAAAACCTCCAGGCTTGAAGACTTATGCCAATGCAGAACGCAGGTACGATGCGCTTCTCAATTCTAGTCGGGCAGCGGCATCACTAGCGTCTCGAATGTCAACCTCGAGCTGTTTCGAGTAGCTTTCGAGACGGGATCAGCGAAATGATGGACAAGAACGTGATCTATTTCGTTCTTGGTTTCACCCTCATCACCATCAACGTGGTCATCATCATAGGGAAAGTCAATCTCCTTGAACAAAGAGTGAGTGCCTGTGGTCGATTATTTCTTCCTTTTCGCATTACATATTTACCATATACGTACATTACATGTGTAGCATATGTAATTCATAAAATGGTGTCCTTAAAAGGAGGAGAGAGGTAGTCATGTAATTTGATCATTTTATGCGTTGAAGACAAAAGCGATGACTTGCAAGGGCCGAGATTAAAACTAATGTGGTCCACAAGTCCGACCTAGGTCGACTTATGCTTCCTGAGAGGGACCTTCCCAGATCAATCATGTGCATCTCGAGGATTTTCTAACTATTTATTTAAGTAATAAAATCCAGGTTCCGTCTCTTACTTCTCGAACGTCCTAATTCACGGTTCTTTTCA